GGACAGGGCAAGATATGACAAAATACCCATTTATAAACTATCAAGGGGTCATGCGGGAGGGGGGAGTGGGGAGGGAGGGGAAAAATGAGGATCTAATGTCGGGAGTTTAAATGGAGAGAAAATGTTTTGAGGAACGATGTATAAATGCACTTTACACAATTGATGTGTGTGTGGATTGGGATAACAGTTATATGAGCCCCTAATAAAATGTTAATAAATAAATAAATAAAATTAAGAATTTTTTTAAAAAATCAAGAACTGAAAGTCTTCTTCCAAGACCATCAAAGAACCATGAGGCAGTTTTCTATACTGAAGCATCACCAGTAGCAGTGATTGATAGTCTATAAAACCTCAGGCTTATCAATACAGACATTGAAACATTATCAAGGCACAAAACTGTTCCCGTGGTGCTTAGCAGAAAATCTTAGTGGCATTCTACTTTGTATGGCAAAGCTTGAAATTTATGTGCTTCTCTACTCATAGTTTCTATAAATTTGTTAAATTTACTCGATCGGAGAGACATAATATCTAAACCCATTAGACAATTTAGGAGAAAATAGAAAAGTATTTTCTTATATCTAGATAATATAAAACCTTTAAAACACCCACAATAAAGCCAGGAAATAATGCCAGTAATACATCTAATACATTGAGAGTTCCATGAAAGATGGGGTTGGGACCTAAAAGAAGTGCACAGAGAAAAAACTGCCAAGAGTGAAAAGAAGCCTGGGAGTAGGAAAACTCAAATCCAGATAGGAGTCTAGTTTCTCGAACTTTAGCATGTACCAGAATATCCTGGAAGGTTTACTGCTGGACCCCACCCCAGGCATTTCTGATTCAGTAAGTCCAAAGGATTCTGGGAATTTACACTTCTAAAAAGCTCCAACATGATCCTGCTGGCCCAGAGACTTCACTTTGAGAACCCCTGTTCTAGAACAATGTCTCTTTAAGTGGGGATCCTTACTATGCATGGATCTAAAAGGAAGTTTATTCTGTTTTTCTTGTAATAATAATCTTCACTTTGAATACTAATTTTATAACAAACTCCTTTTTTGATGATAAATCCAAATTTCAAGATATTTTCATAAAAGAAGAATTAAGTCATTGTCTCTAAAACCGGGCTTCTCTGAAGAGCACCTGTATACTATCAAGATGAAAAGAGCACCGTTTTCATTATTCCAATGTACGATGTTCCTACTCAGTGAGCAGGTGGCTATTTATAAAGTGGCACTCTGCATCAATAGCCCAACATTTGAAGAGCGATTTGGAAAAATCACACTTCTTTTAAAATGTATTTGGGTCATTGAAGTTGAGGTTTCAGTGAAACTTGAAATCTTTTCTGGGTGAATAAAGGTATATAGAATTCCTTAACAGAACCACAAGACTCTGGATATTACTTCTGGCTGGGGTAGAGTTTCCATGGGGGACTTCAGAAACCTTAAGGGGGTGCTTAGCTGGCTATAAGGGAAACCATGTGCACCCTAGCAAAATAGAGCGCTGCATAATGAAACATTTCATGGCCCACAAACTGCCCATTACTAATTTGGATAACTAGGATAATGAGTTTATTTTTCCTTTAAAATTTATTTTTGTTTTCCGAAAGATCTACAACCTGCTGAATCACATCCTACCTTTGACCTTTTGTTATTTTTCAAGGTTTTGCCAGATTTCTTCCTTCTCAAACCTTTTATTTCTGGGAACCCTTGCCCATGTTCCTGCTATTTGTATCTTCTATGTTCAATCAATCACCAGGGTATTAGTCTGGGTAGATTAGAGAAACAAAATTCATAGACACTCATATGTTTATAAGAAAGAACTTTATCTACAATAGCAATTGAATATTGAGAAAACATCCCAGCCCAGTCCACATCAAATCCATAAGTCCAATATTAGCTCATATGTCTGATACCAATCTATAAATTCCTCCTCAGACTCACGCAACACATGCAATGACACTGAAGATCACATGCTAGTGGGTGCAAGGTCTTGTGGATGGATCCAGTGGTGGTGTAAGCATCTCAGCACTGGCAGGGGTTTCCACGTGTCTCCTCCGGCTCCAGAGCTCTGGCTCCATCAGCCTCTCTCCATGTGTCTTCTCAAAAGGGATGTCTTGCAGTGAGTCCGCGTGTATCCCCCTTTAGTGAGCTATTTGTCTCCTTAGCACCTCCAAATGTGGTCATCAAGCTGCGACCTGATTGACAGGCTAACCTCCACCCCTTCACTCGTAAGTCTTAAATTGACAACAGATTATTTAACTACCACAACCAGTTAGAAAAATATTGAATTACAGTCAATAGATATTTATTAATAGTTACTAAACTATGTAGATAGAGAACAAAGAAGTACTGACAATGTCTGACCTAAAGGAACATATAATTTTGAATCTCTATTTTTAACAACCAGATAACATCCCTTTGTGAAGATGGTAGTTATTAATAATAATATCATCTGCAGCTTGCCTGGGGCAATCATGCAAGGTGGGAGGGAGGTCACAGAGGCCATAGGGTGGAGTTCCCAGAAGGAAATCTCTCAGAACAGGAGGAGAAGCACAGATGTTCATTCAGAAAGGCAGAAAGGGCTATCTTTTTTCTCAAAAGCTAAAACAGGAATAGACAATGAGAGAGAAAGTACAGAGACAAAGTCACAAATTCAGCTATTATGGCTGCAGGATTAAAGTGGAGGAAAAGCCCTTGTATTTATTGAGACCATACAGTGCACTAGGCATGTAGCTAGGTACTTTACATGCGTTATTACATTTAGCCATTTTAACAATTTGCGGGACTACTCATTATTAATGCTGTTTCAGATTTGAGGAAATCATTCTAGGTCACAGAGCTTGAAAATGGTGAAGTCAGGATTTTCATCGAGGTACTTCTGACTGCCAAGTCTATGAACTTTCTATCATAACTTGCTGATGACCCAGTTGGAGATTGATGTGGAGCATGCTGAAGCTATTTATGTCTGCCTTTCAAGCAAGAGACTATGCGCTTAAATCAACTTGTATATCATCTTTCTCATAATTTTTGTTGCACGTGTGAATATTTTATTGCTATTATTGTTATGATTCTTGGAGGAGAATATCCACAGAAT